GTCTAAAACCATATCAGTTTATGAGGTGGTTCTAAACATGTTAAACCAGTAGCATCTGTTTTTGCTTCTGTCAGACTGTGTGCACCGACATTTAACCAAAAATACCAGCAGTGATATAAATTGTTTGGAGTCATTTTATTTTTTTGTAATCAGATTCCAGGAAACTGAAAAACCTCCTGCACGCAGCTGAAACAGATAAAAGCAAACTTCAAATGGAAGTCAAGACGCTGAAGAAGGAGCTTGAAAACTTTGACCCAACGTTTTTCGAAGAGCTTGAGGACTTGAAGTACAACTACAATTTAGAGGTGAAGAAAAACATCCTGTTGGAGGAGCAGCTGAAGAAGGTGTGCCATCAGTTTGGTGTGGAGGCTAAAATGCCCAGCGTGTCCATCGATTAACTCAGGGTTATTGTACCAACAAATGTTAAAAAATACTGGATGTTTTTTGGTTGTTTGTTTTGGTCTGGCACATTACAAGTTGAGATATATTTTTTCAGAGCAGTCAAAATGTAAGTAATAGTACTGTTGGTAGTAGTAAAGTTTATTTTTTAAAGAGGCAAATTGTTCTCTACAGCATATTTTCTAACTAACATACTGTCAGTTCTGCAAAGTAACTTAATATTTATTGTTTTAGATTTGCCAATAAAGTAGTTTTCACCAGCTTGAATTGTCTTATTTCAACGTTTCAACATGGCGCCCAGATCGCTCTGCAGTTTCAAGGTATACAAAGCTGAAATGTGGTGGATTCGTAGCTGAGATCAAACCCAACACATTCTGAATATTAAACACAAGTTTTAGCTAACTGCTAATGCTAAATTGAGATAAGGCATAATTTAGCCATTTTGAGACGTACAAAGCTGAAAACAGGTCGTAGCCAAGAACAAGCTTTGACAAATTCTCTATGATAAATTTTAATTCAAGGCCTGCAATACTGTCTGTTACCATTTGAAGACATTTTGGGCTGAAATTTGGTGTGGTGTTACTAAGATTGAATCCAAATTAAAAATCCAAGATGGCTGATAGTCATGCACATCAACTGTAACAAGGGCGTATTACAGGAGTTGTAAAAAGACCGTTAATTTTTAATTGTTTAATCAAATTACTTGGATCTCTCGGTATTGTTAAAATTTATATTAAATATCTACGTCCAAATATGTAAAAAAAATTAAATTTAAATTTAACAGGCTTTCATAGGGTGTCCTAATATTTTCACGAGTATATTTCTGCTGATCGAAATATAAAACTGACTGTATAAATGTCTAAATAATACCCTAACCATTCTCAAGTTCCTGTAAAATGTTAAAGATTGGAGTCATTTTTAGAAAGCAAAACCTACTCTGCAAATGGGTCCGCTCTAACCAGCCCTTATTAGCTGCACTTTGGTCCAAGCAGACCTGCCTCTAACACAGATTGTACTGTTTTAAAATCCTTAAAATTTCACACTGGTTCATGCAAACTCTATTTTGTGAATTCATACAAAATAAATAGTTTCAGCCTTGCATCAACACATTGTTCTAGAAACAGTATTTTTTTGAAAAACAGGTTCCAGAGTGAAAATAATCTTGAAAAGAAATTTTATTTTTGTGCAGCCAAAAAAACCCAAAAAGGAAACTTTTTGAAAACAATATGATAGGCCCACCTCTAACCTAACCTCTTGCTGATCAGACATACCAATAACACCACTGTTATTGCATGCTTGCATTTATGCAGCAAAACCTTTGTTTTCTCTATTATTTCAATTGCAGACGAGGCTGATTAACAAACTCCCTCGCAACAAGGGAGAACCAGACAGGAACGACAAAACATTTGAGTTTAGTGTTTTCAGTTCTTACCCAGCATGCAAGTTTTATGCACAGTATATATTTATGGCAGTGTTAGTGACACAGTTTCTACAGTATTTTTAGCAGTTTTCTGATTTTTCATTTTGGAAACCTGTAAGCCTTTAAACTATTTCTCCATATTCACAACTTTTCCAGTTAATCCAATTTCAAAATGTTGAAAATATCCCTTTAAATTTACTTTCCTCTGAATGTAGTTTTACCTCTTACAGTTTAATGACTCTTGGATCAATTTAATAAGACTTTCAGCTGAATCTGTGCCCTAAACAGTCTTAGTTTTTGGAATTCTTCTTCAGTGGTGCCCATATCTGGCTGGATCCTCACAGGGATGTGGTCGTAAAAAAGAAGCCTGGTCTTTTGCTCATGACTCAAAGTTCACATCCTGAAGCCGGCTGAAGAAGTGTCCGTTCAGTGATAAAAAGGACGTGAACAAGCTGCTGCTGCAGGCCTCCACCTTCCCGTCAACGCGAATCACCACAGGTCTGTTGGCGAGGCAGGTGTCCCCATCAGGCCATCGCAGTCCCAGGTGGTGCCGGTGGACCTGCGAACACCACAGTTACAGCCGACTGAACCTCTCCCTAAAGCCAGACCATGTGCTGAATGTTTCAGCTTTTAGAATAATGAGATCAAGTCAAGTCACCCCACCTTAATAAGAGTGCCATTGTTGCAGTGCCAAACGATGCCCTCTACTCGGCCCTCTGGGCTTTCCTGGAACCAGGAGCTGATCTGCTGGAAGTCCACAGGCAGGAGGTTTGGGATTGGAATGACTCCATGTGGTACCAGGCAGTGGACCGGCTGCTTTTTACTCCCAAGTCCTGCAGGACAAGGATATACACCTAGAGTTAAATCCTGTGATGATCAGAAAGAACGTGACTGACTCAGTGACTTATTTTTATTTATTATTATTATTTCACTGCTTCTTTGTTTAAAAGGATCCCTGATTAGTTGTAACATTAGACTTTATTTGATAAACATATATTTTAACTGTAAAATAAAGACTGTAAAAATACTGTAGGCTGTTCAGTTTTTATAATTTTTAAACTAAAAGTTTGAAAATATACTACACGGATGGAGCCATTTTATTTACACGCAAAGCATTCTGGGTAAATGATAACGTGGATAGGTCATCGGTGCGAGGCTGCTAGCGAGCTATATCCACCCTGAAGGTTAATCTTGGACAATATCTGATGATCGACTCTTTTAAATGAAACCAGAGAGCGTTGACAGAGAGAAGAAGGTAGAAATGACTCAGCCTGMAACTGAAAATATACACTCACCGGCCACTTTATTAGGTACACCTGTCCAACTGCTCGTTAACACTTAATTTCTAATCAGCCAATCACATGGCGGCAACTCAGTGCATTTAGGCATGTAGACATGGTCAAGACAATCTCCTGCAGTTCAAACCGAGCATCAGTATGGGGAAGAAAGGTGATTTGAGTGCCTTTGAACGTGGCATGGTTGTTGGTGCCAGAAGGGCTGGTCTGAGTATTTCAGAAACTGCTGATCTACTGGGATTTTCACGCACAACCATCTCTAGGGTTTACAGAGAATGGTCCGAAAAAGAAAAAACATCCAGTGAGCGGCAGTCCTGTGGGTGGAAATGCCTTGTTGATGCCAGAGATCAGAGGAGAATGGGCAGACTGGTTCGAGCTGATAGAAAGGCAACAGTGACTCAAATAACCACCCGTTACAACCAAGGTAGGCAGAAGAGCATCTCTGAACGCACAGTACGTCGAACTTTGAGGCAGATGGGCTTCAGCAGCAGAAGACCACACCGGGTACAACTCCTTTCAGCTAAGAACAGGAAACTGAGGCTACAATTTGCACAAGCTCATCGAAATTGGACAAGAGAAGATTGGAAAAACATTGCCTGATCTGATGAGTCTCGATTTTTGCTGCGACGTTCGGATGGTAGGGTCAGAATTTGGCGTCAACAACATGAAAGCATGGATCCATCCTGCCTTGTATCAACGGTTCAGGCTGGTGGTGGTGGTGTCATGGTGTGGGGAATCTTTTCTTGGCACTCTTTGGGCCCCTTGGTACCAATTGAGCATCGTTGCAACGCCACAGCCTACCTGAGTATTGTTGCTGACCATGTCCATCCCTTTATGACCACAATGTACCCAACATCTGATGGCTACTTTCAGCAGGATAATGCGCCATGTCATAAAGCTGGAATCATCTCAGACTGGTTTCTTGAACATGACAATGAGTTCACTGTACTCAAATGGTCTCCACAGTCACCAGATCTCAATCCAATAGAGCATCTTTGGGATGTGGTGGAACGGGAGATTCGCATCATGGATGTGCAGCCGACAAATCTGCGGCAACTGTGTGATGCCATCATGTCAATATGGACCAAAATCTCTGAGGAATGCTTCCAGCACCTTGTTGAATCTATGCCACGAAGAATTGAGGCAGTTCTGAAGGCAAAAGGGGGTCCAACCCGTTACTAGCGTGGTGTACCCAATAAAGTGGCCGGTGAGTGTAGATGGAGGACATCAGAGCTGCTTCATGGAAGAAGAACCTCAGCTTAGCCTGTTAGCTTCAGCGTTAGCCCCGATGCTATCACTATTTATATATATTAGCTCAGTGCTACACATTCTCCTCTCGTCACTGAGGTCCTCCATCCACATGACAGAGAGGGGAACACAAAAATGACTCAGCCTGTAACTGAAAATATGGATGGAGGACCTCAGTTTAGCTTGTTTGTTTGCTGTGCTAGTGCTGAGCTAATACATATAAGGCAATATAGTATTGGCGCTAGCCAATTGGTGCTGTTTTGAATTGGGTTCTATGGAAAGGTTAGGCACAAATAATAACTTGTAGATAACTCTATGACCAACCTCAGTTTGGAGGAAAAGAGTTCACATCATTTCACTGATCTTTGTGCAGTTATTTACAAGGGAACCTGATTATTTGTGAAGTTTCCACAAAATTCCACTTTAAAATGGCTAAAATTGTTTTTTACAGTTTTTGGACTCATTAAAAAAGTTTTCAAAGAACTTTTTATTCAAGATTCAAATCTTTTTTTTCCTTTTTTTGGGGGGTAACGATACAATTTGTGTAAAACCAGCAGGCTGTCAAATTTGAAGCAACAAAGACGAGATGAATTTACCGTACGGGTTTCCGTTGACGTTGGTTCCGATCAGTTCCAGCGTTTGTTCCTGCAGCTCTGCCAGTGGGACGGCTGTAATTTCCAACACGTCGGCTTCACCAGAGCTTGGCCGGAGAACGAGCGCTGCCCTGACTTCATAATCCACCACAGAGGAATGCCAACAGTACTGCTTGTTGCTCTTCTCCACTGGAACCCAGCCTGCACGATTCCAAAAACAGTGTTTCCATCAGGCTGATGGTTTCCATGTGAGAGAAGACGCTGGCTGGTAACCTCACAACTTCACACTAAAGAGAAGAAAAGACTATGTTCCCCAACCTGGAATGTGTCCATTTTCATCAGGTATAGGATGGCCATCATGGTGTTTGACTCTGTGAGCTGGAATCCATGTCTCTGGCACTGTTTTAAAATCTTCCTCTACGTTCCACATGAAGTCTGAAACAAACAAAAAAATAAATAAAAATTTAAACCAAATGCTAACATTTCCAGCTCTTAGCAATGTATTGTTTCTATTAACTACAGTTATGATACCTTTACTGCTTTTGTGAGAACGCTGGTGCTTTTTAAACCTCTTCTCTGCTGACTTGTTGGGCTTCCTGTCGAGTCTGGCCCAGAGGTAAGGCTGACCTGGAGGAAAGCAATTCTTTAAATGTGAGCTACAAACTTTAAAGGGCCTGTGATGTATGCTTCAATTAGAAAAAGTAAAAGAACATTTTTTATTTAAGAAACTTGGCATAATACACTTTATTTTATACATTTTGTCACATAACTGGCATATGTTCTTTTGAATATGGTTCAAAGTGAAACAGGAAGTGACATCAAAGGGAAGAAAGAAAACTGGTCTGTTTACTGAAACAATACTATTTGAACTCTGACTCTTCATCGCTCTCTAATCTAAAGATACATGAGATTCTTCTCTTCTGTCTGTTTAGTTAGTTATTATAGCAATGCTCTGTAGTCCATGGGCTAGGGTGGCTCACTGTGCACCCCCCTACTGAACTTCTCTGGTATTTTCATGTACCCTAGGATCCACTCTTTTAAAAAAAGCATGTTAACAGAAAAAAATTGGGTCTCACTGCTCCACAGGGACCGTTTTGGCCACACCCCTTTTCCATTTTGACCACCATGTGAGTGCACTGGAAATTTAAAATGTTTTCATCAAATTAACAAGAACAGTTCTTTAATACTGTAATATTTTCTGTAATTGCAATGTTATTGTAATTGTAATATTTTCATGAAAAACTCACCACTCTTATGCCAATACGGTCGCAATGATGCATTTAGGTACTGAAATGGAATTGCATGAACATTCACCTGGTGGTTATGTAATATAGCGAATCGATAATAAAATATCTGCGTCGACAAATTTACATAATCGACGTCATCGATTATTTCAACTAATCGGTGCAGCCCTACTTGTGACGTCCACGGCCTACCCCAGTTACCACTACTGTGCATGTGTGTCAAGGACAGAAAAGCAGATGTGGCAGTGGAAGGTGTCAAAGCACTTTGGAGAGAAAAACAAAGAACAAAAAAAAAAAAAAGAAAACGATTAATCGATTCTTAAATTAGTCAATTAGTCATCCACAATTTTAATAATCGATTAGTTGTCGATTGATCGATTAATCAGTGCAGCCTTAGTTCACATGCAGGCATTCCTCTTTGACATCACTTCCTGTTACTTCACATGCAAATTTCTCAACAACTGTTCACCTCAGTGCTGTGAAATTGCTTTTGCAATATGTTATTAAATTTCTCTTTCCAAAACCACATTCATTTTGATTACAAAAATTTGATGTCATGGGCACTTTAAATTCCCCCCAAATAATTTGTCTATTTTTTCTACTAAAACATCCAGCTAACAGAGCCATGAGTGGGAAACAGGCTCACCTTGATAAAGGCTAACGTAGCAGCAGGTACCGTCCAGTTTCTCTGTGGCAAGTGCACAATCAATGTTGGCTTCCACAGCAACAGGGTTCACATTCTCTGTAGCAACAACCTGAAATTGCTTTAAAACAAAAAATAAAATAATATTAACACCATGCATGAGTTGTTCTGAAGTTTGAACCTAATATGTCAAATTTTGTCATCATTTCAGAAAAAAAAGTTCAAGTTCGCACTAGGAACGTTTTTACTTTTTAACAAATGTTGCAGCCATTTATGCAGTAATATTTATGCATGCATACTTTAACTCAATTTTCCTTTTGTGTATTTCAAGCTGTTTTTAAAGGTAGCGCAACTGTGTTTGCTGCATGACCGGTTTCACATGTTCCCCCATGTTTGTCTGTATGTCTTCTTGAATGGGTGTTTCTTAACTCCCCCCCCCCCCCCCCCCGAATGTACAGCACCTTGTGAATTTATTTCTGTGAAAGGCGCTATATAAATAAAACTTTACTTACTTACTTATGCATTAGCTACAACTACACCAAAGTTTAGCACAATATATAAAATTGACAGAGGTATAACCATTTTAGTGTTATTAAGGACCAGTATGTTGTAGCCACCATCTTGAATATATTGACTCCTGCATCTCCCAATGGACCATTTCTTGGATACTGTTTAGCGCCACAATGGTTTGTGGGATTGTTTGGGGGCAACTGAAGTAAACATGAATGATGGGACAGGTTCTCAAACTTTTAAGTTTAGATTTTTGTGCTTCTTAAAAGTGTTTCTTTTGGTTGGTGAGGTTCTAATCAGAAAAAGGACAAACTCATCCAGAACTGTAATGCTGCTCAAATGTTGGGATTAGTACCTAAAATAGCAATCTGGAAAATAGAGGTAAGGTTATACAGTTTTGCAATAATTGCAATCTAAATACAATGTATTAATTACTACAGTATCTCACAATATCAAATATACTGCCAGAGAAAAAGTATACAGTGATCCTACAGTATTAAAGGAGACCAATTATGGGTCCTAGAAATGTTTATGGTATGTCTGTGGGCTATCCAGACCATGTTCATTCAATTTAATGCACAAAATAATTCTCAGATAATAAAATTTCCCATTTTCTAGTTCTGCCTGTTCTGACTTCTGTTCAGAAGAGCTGTTTATGTTAATGAGCTCTGTTGGTAACGCCCTCCAAAAATCTGTTGACATTAACTCCGCCCTCCAAAGCCAGCGTTTACGTTAGCATGGCTAATAATAGCAGAAGCTCCGTTGTACAATCATATGAGACCCAGAGGCTCAGACCCAGAGGCAGAGTCATGGTCCCAGCTTCTTTTTTTTCTCCCTCCTCTGCTCTGCGCTCACTCTGCTCTCTGTTTCCAGAGCAGGGAGCAGCAGCGGTCAAAATACCTCAGAAACCCGAACAAATAGGCTTTAACAAGGCTTTAATAAGCTAAACAATAAAGGTACATGAGAAAACGTGTTCATAACGAATGAAAATAAATAATTAAATTGTGTCCGTGCCAGTCTCAAACCCTGGTCTCCCACTCTCTGGTCCAACACTCTACCCATTGCTTTATTGGAGGCCTGTTGTGAAATGAGCTGCACATAACACAACAACAACCGTGACGGCTTTTTATACTGAGGAGGTGGAGCTTCAGCCGGGGGTTGCTAGGTAAGGGGCTGAACGCAGGTTCTGGTGGGTTGTCGTACAGCTTGTGACATCACAAAATTTAGGAAGTATAAAACTTGTCATTAATATACATTAAAAATACATTTACTTACAGTAAATATGCACCTGGGTGTATTTTTTTGGTCCTAGGACTGTTTTTTTAAGAAGTACATACCCAAAGTTGAGTAAAAAAAAACTTTAAAAAGTGAATTTTGCATAATAGGTCCCCTTTAACAGCTTTATGATCAGTGGGGCTGATAAACATATAATCTACATATAATCTTGAGGCTGACCTATTATTGATTAAATGCTGAGTATAAAAACATCCTTCTTGATCACACATCCAATTTAACATGAATATTAATTTAACGATTGTGTATTTGTATTAATGGTAGTAAATGCATTTGTTAATGTAGTTTGTAGACTTCTGCATGGTGTATGTTACTGTAAGATAGTCCATTCCTATATTTGTAATATTTAGTCAAAATGATCTGAAGAAGGCAAATATAATACACAGCCAAGACATAAACAAACTTAATCAGACGTGGTCCCAAATATAGCAGCTTGATATAATGTGTCCCCGTCTAAAACAGAAAGGGTTAAAGTTAGCAGGTCTGTGTCAGGCCTCAGCATACTTCACAATATGTCTTCTAACCCCTGAAAGTTTGAACTTAATCCTTTCTTGGATGGATTTAAGGGGGGTACAGATTATATCAGGTGGCCTGATGTAATCTGTACCCCCCAACATCATGAAGCTACACAGAGGAAACAGAGAAGTGCTCTGACACACAAGAAACATGGTCTGCTTTTAGTATGACGTCATTGTTTTCCAGAAACGTTCAGTATGATAAAACCACAAAGACCTTTATTGCAGGAACAGAATGAATCAGTCTGCCTCTGCTGTAGGAAGCAACACATTATCAAAATGGCGCTACTCACCAAAATAAAATAAAACACAAAACGCAAACATATACAAGATAAATGTTTACATAAATGTTAATTATTCGGAAATTGTTTAACCAAGAAAAAGTCTAAATTAACTGGCATGGCAACAGCAGGATAAGGCTGCTCTGCTCCCAGTCTCACCTGACAGTCCCGTTTTCTGGACGCTTCTTCCTTCACTTCGGTGAGAAAAACACACGGGATCTTCTGCTGAACGGAGCACAGGCGGCGCATTTTCTGGATGCTTCACTGACTAAACAGTTTTATCTGAAAATGTTGCTAAGTAATGCACAGAAACATAAACAGCGCAAAACCCTGTTAGCATGAGATGAGCATCTTTTTCTACGGTATGTTCTTCGCCTCATAAAGACAAAAAAGAGTCAACAGCGCCACGATGGTGACTGCTGGGAACTACATCAATTTGGCTTGCATTAAATTCTATATATATATAT